AGACTGAAGAAATGCTTACTCCCGCCTGTCCATGCTAACGCGTTTCAGCCTATTCTGGTCTCAGTTGCAGCTTCAATTAAGGTCAGGATTGGTTGAAACGCGTTAGCAGCGGACGAATGTGCTAATCAATGTTTTGCAAGCGGATGGCGTGTCGGCTTTGTGGATTTCCATTGGCTGGCGTTGACCTTGAAATGTATATTTTTGTATGCGGGAAGCTCTCGCCGATCCTCATGGCTGTCGGGTGAGAAATAAAGAGGGTGAGCGCCCGGTTAGGGGCTTTCGTGCAGCAACACGATTTCTAATAAAAGGGGGAAGTTGACGGAGAGTCGAAGTTTCAGTTTGAGAGGAAATGTCGGTCTTGTGCCGAGTTTTGTAAAGATTTTGTGTTGAAATTGTGGGAACCTGCGATGTGCGGTGCAGCCAACGCGCTGCAGATTCAGGGACAGGAACACGCGGTGTGTCCCGGGTGGTCTGCGTGTACTTCAACCTGCCGCATAGATTTGTGTTAGCACATCATTGCTCGGCCAGGGTGCCTTCTGGCTTCCTCAGGGTGGCCCCCAAAATCTTCTGATGTAAAAGGGGGGATTCCAATATGAAGGGGGGCTCTGATGAAGGGGGGCTCCTGATGTGAAGGGGGGACTCCTGATGTTAAAAAGGGGGGAGGGGCTCCTGATGTTAGAAGGGGGCTCCTGATGTGAAAGAGGGGTACTCTGATGTAAATGAGGCTCCTGATGTGATAGGGGGGCTCCTGATGTGAAAGGAGGAGTACTGTGGTGTGGAGGAGGCTCCTGATGTGAAAGGAGGAGGCTCCTGATGTGAAAGGAGGGGTACTCTGATGTGAAAGGAGGGGTACTCTGATGTGAAAGGAGGAGGCTCCTGATGTGAAAGGAGGGGTACTCTGATGTGAAAGGAGGGGTACTCTGATGTGAAAGGAGGGGTACTCTGATGTGGAGGAGGCTCCTGATGTGAAAGGAGGGGAACTCTGATGTGAAAGGAGGAGGCTCCTGATGTGAAAGTTGGGACCCCTGATGTGAAAGGAGGGGTACTCTGATGTGAAAGGGGGGGTACTCTGATGTGAAAGGAGGGGTACTCTGATGTGAAAGGAGGGGTACTCTGATGTGAAAGTTGGTAGCCCTGATGTGAAAGGAGGGGTACTCTGATGTGAAAGGGGGGTACTCTGATGTGAAAGGAGGGGTACTCTGATGGGAAAGGAGGGGTACTCTGATGTGAAAGGATGGGTACTCTGAGGGGAAAGGGGGGTACTCTGATGTGAAAGGAGGGGTACTCTGATGTGAAAGGAGGGGTACTCTGATGTGAAAGGAGGGGTACTCTGATGTGAAAGGAGGGTGCTTCTAGTGTGAAGGGGGAACACTACAGTAGAAGGGGGTTTCTTCGGCACCATATTGATAGCAGGCATTCAGATCCAGGCGAGCCGGGGACATCAGCATCATTATGGCCCACGCATGCGCACCTGCCATCTTGATGGAGGGAATATTGAGGACATCTTGGAGCAGTCCGGGGAGAAATGTTCATTTTTAGTTCTTGCCCTTTAAGTGCATTTTTTTTTCTGAAAACTACACAAACATTTTATTTACCCAGCGAATCCAAAACTTCTCCTTCATTTGTGTTATGAACATTCAGTCTGAAGTTTGATCTCCGGAAACTTTTGGGTGCACAGAAAACTTAAAGTGACATTAAACCCTGAGATTCTTTAACATAAAGCAATACTGTAATGTGCGCCTCACTGTAATCCATGGTAGTTTCCCTTCTCTTTGCTGCTCTTCCTTTTAAATCCTCATGTCTTCTCATGCTGGGGGAGAACTTCTGTTTTGCAGCAGACTGCCTTGTCTCTGGAATGGATACACGGTGTCTGTGTGAAGGTTCACAACCTGAGCCAGCACTACAGGAAGAGGCACTCAGCTGCAAAGAGAAGTTCTCCCCCAGCATGAGAAGACATGATGATTTAAAAGGAAGAGCAGCAAAGAGAAGGGAAACAACCATGGATTACAGTGAGGCGCACATTACAGTATTGGTTTATGGTAAAGAATCTGAGGGTGTAATGTCACTTTAAGGCTGCCCTGCATGCACATTGCTTTTCTTTAGTTATGATGTTTGCATCGCCTGCGACCCTGGTAGTTCCGCCAGTGCATCCGATGTCTTTTTGTGTCTTGTATTGTCTTGAATTCCTCCTTCGCTGCACTTTAGCTGGAAGTTCTGCGCCTATAACAAACCCACAGACATAAATAGATGTTTTCACACATCGCAGAGGAGAGGAAATGTTTGGCAGGCTTCACAGAGTGCATTTGTCACAGTTGGAGATAACAGGCAGCTATGTGCTCTGTGGGTACGGTGCGATCCTGGTGCTGCTGTTCCTGGGGCGTGCAGTACCAGCCAGGAACGTGGTCTGCCTTACAAAGTGCCAAAGACAAACAGCGCAGCATGACAAACGGAGATATAAAAGCACCTTGCATCTTCCATTTTCTATACCCCCCCCCATGACTTTCATGAGCATGAAGTTACAGTTTTCCCCTTACTTTGTCCAACTTAAAGGAGAACTATGAGGTTAGAGCTTTTCACTCACCTCATAGTTCTAGCCGACCTGTGACAATGAGACTGTCAAAGGTCGGCTCAGTAGATCGGACTATCCCTTCGAAGTTGAACTCCAGGAAAAAGAGTTGAGCGCAGCTCGCGGTATACTGAGCTTTGGGTGACGGGAGGACGCTACTTTGTGTCCTCCTGTTACCCTAAGGAGAACTATGGGGGAAAAGCCTTAACCCCATAGTTCTCCTTTAAAGTTTTTAAATAACACAGGATTCTTGTTCTGTTTATTCAGCAAACATCTGAGCGCTGCTCATTAACCCCTTCCAGAATGGGAGCTGTCAGGGCATGGTACAAAGCAGTCATAAACATGTCCTCCCTGTACACCTGTGTGCTTGGGAGAGCTGAAAGCTTGCTGGGCAGCACAGAAAACAAAGCCAGGAAAAAGGATCAATGGAAGAAAGAGTCTGCAGTCTATCCGTGGGCACAACTACAAGAACCCTGATCCGTGTTGCACTTGAGCTTCATTCATCCTGTGACTCTCTGAACCTGATATACTAAAGTGTGAAGCGAGGTGAAGAGAACATAAATATCCAATAATGTGTGAAGGGGGAGGCAAATTTTGTTCATGATTGGACGGTTACATGCCCGCTTCATTTCACACTGTAGTACATTTGAAGGTTTAGCATTGTTTTATGTCATTAATAGTTTTATGTCATTAATTAATCAATATTTTATTTAAAAATTGGGTATTTTATTGTGTTTTGGGGCATTTAAGTACATTTTACACTAAGTTTTGGGGTTTGATAAGGAGTTGCGCTAATAATCTGCGTCATAAAAATTTGCAACTGCCACCATTTTATTCCATAGGGTCTCGGCTTTCAGAAAATATATAACGTTTGGGGGTTTTAAGTAATTTTCAGGCCTAAAATGTGGAATATAACATGGGTGCAAAAAATGGAAAGAAAAAAAAAAAAAGGTCTCAGTCACGAAGGGGTTAAATGTCCCAGTTGTTATACAAGACGATGTTGTGTAAGCGTGACACAAAGTGCTTATCGCAGCAAAAAGCATCAAACGTAGCAGGCTGCTGTTCTGCCACCGGGGTGTAACATGCCCCATTCTAGCAGCCTGTACATGCAATTAGCGTAACCCAGTTTGATGAAGCTCTTCCAGGCTCCTTATTGATCTCTCCTTCCTCCCTCCTGCTGGAGACTTTGTGTGTATGAATCTGTCTGGCTGAAAACTTCCACTATTTATTAATAATACAACAGTGTTCTCATCTGCGGTGACCTTGTTTCCACTAAGTTTGGACAAACTTGTCTGCGAGTCCTTCCACAGTCAGAAAAGGGAATTGTAAATTGGAGGTCACACAAAGAAATGGAATAAATACAATGAAAAGAGGTCCAACAATTTTTACATAGTTGCACATTCACATCAGTCCCTACCCTCAAGGAGCTTACAATCCATATTTATTCAAGTTGATGAGAAAGGGGACGTTAAAGCGACACTAAACTCTGGAGTTAAATCTGACAAATACATTCAAGTTCCCTAAAGGAGAACTATGAGGGGGTGGGGGGGGGGGGGGGGTTTTTCCTCCACCCC